CATTAGGGTTTCTTCATTACTTGTGGAACGGAGTGTCAACAGATCTTGTAAATGCCAAGTTACAGACAAGACAGAGAGTTCCAAGCCTCTCTTGCTGGATAGCTTTCATTGGATATAGCAGGCAGTTCCCAGGTCTGATTTCTGAAAGAAGCCTCTCTAAATGGTTAACACAGTGCTACAAAGATGCTGAAAGAAGGCAGTGCACAACTAAGCTTTTTAGGTGCAGCATACCATCCAGTGCCTGAAGAGACACCATGCTGCCAGGTGGCTGCATGCAAACTAAACCATTAACCCCAAGACCTCAAAACTGCGAGCATTCATCTGATTCACACTTAATATTTATTTTCAGATTTACAAACACATTCTGTATTTCTCAGATCACACCCAGTTAACTTCTACGGAACAAAAAGCCTTGGGTAAGTTGTTTTCCCTAATCTTAAAATTTTTCATTGGTAGAACAAGGGCAGTATTTACCAGCTTCATGACAGCAGAGCAAGCTAAGTGCTCATGGTTTTGGGGAAAGAAAGAACATGTAGCAGCAATTTACATAATCAAGTCAGTCAGTAAGACTTTTACCATTTACAGAGGTAAGGAGTCAGAATTTTCTTCTTGTTTTAATAGGAATATGAAAGTAAAAATGAGATATTTATTTTCTTGCAACATACAGCTGCACAGCACAAGTACTTTCCACTCCTCTGTCCCGATGTAGACCAATGCCTTACATCATTCTTCCCCCATCACTTCCATCTTTACTCTCCCACCCTTTTATCATTTGCTCCTCCAGAAGCAGAGGAGTTTAAACGTGACAGGGACACAGGAGCACCTTCCCTATTCCTGATGGTGATTCTGGGAAAGAACTAACATATAGGAAGCATGGGAACAAACAGCTCCCTCTGCTTTTGTGGCCTTTCTGTAGGAATAAACAAGCTTAGGAGAAGAGAAAAACATAAGTTAGAAGAAAAGGGTGCAAAAATAGGAAAAAGTGTCACTAAGCGAATTGGCTGCTAAACTACAAGCAACAGAGCAGTGCAACTTTTAAGTTCACAAAAGATACTACCCTGAATAGGGACACAACAGGCCTGGGAGGAAGCAGGAGGGGTAAGGAAATCAAGAGCAAACGGCTTTCAAAAAAATCACACATTAGATCAAATTACAAAAAAAAACAAAACAAAAAAAAAAAAAAAACCAGTTCTTCCATGAACACAACTCTGGATCATCATTTCCTACAACTAAATCAAGGACTTAACAGTTTCGTGCTCTGCTACCATGCAGACTTCAAACACTTTAGGGGAGGATGCAATTTTCTTTAACCAGAATCAGCTCATCACAGGCAGCAAAAAGGAGAGGGGAAGGGATTCTTTTGCTAGCTGGGAAATCAAGGCCATGATGAAGCAGAAGCAGACCAAGAAACAGTTCAGCACCAAAATGCATGCAACTGCCTTGTTTCCTCAGAAATACTGCAATTACTGAGGCTGCCTTTTCCAGCAGCAGGGATGGTCAGAAGACAGCCTCATCTTCTTGAGCATACCTATAGAAATCCTAATTTAGATGTTGTTAATCTCACCCCTTCAAAGCTTCTCTTTCAGGGCTATGTCAAATACCTTGGAAGATAAATAAAGATCCCAAGGCACTCCCATCACACATCATTTTCCCTTAAATGACTCAGTTTTTACTCCCTCCCAAACACGTCTTCCACTGCAGAAACACAAAATTCCACCTTTACTCCATCAATGGAACATTAGAATTGTTTTTAAAAGTTTCTTTCCTCATTCATCAACATTCTCCATGTTCCTCTGTAGATCACAGACCTAAGTAAACTTAAATATTCAAACTGGCTTCAAAACTATAGACCTGAAAATTTATTTCTAAACCAAAATCATATATTAAGTAGAATGCCTGAAGTAAGCCTACCCCAAATGCTCTACTTTCTGAAGACCTACACACACTTTCACATGTTGGATCCTAGATTGGTTAGTTCCTGTTTGGCAGCAGACTTCTATTTTGCTGTCAGATGTAATGTGAGGGAATACTGAACACTTCTCAGTCCGTATCACCTGGACTAAGGCAGCAGGCAAAGCTGAAATGACTTCCTGAGAGTTTAGAATTATAGCAGTCAAACTGTGATTTGGTAGCAGAATAACTCTTGTTTTTTCTTTCAGCTAATGGCTTATTTAGCAACCTCCCTGAAAAACAGCACAGAAGCACTCGACAGCCTCGTGGTGTTTGTTTTGTTTTTATTTCAGAAAGAAATGTTTTGGTGGTTCTTGGCTTCAGTCATTCAGAAACACCATTTTACATCAGCCTGGGAATGAATGGCTTCATCTGGAAAGGATGCTCAAGTGCCAGAAGCACCAACACTGCTCAAGTGAAGAAAGTCACTTCTAAGCAGGGACTAGCAACAGCAGTGTCCAAATTCAGACTGGCTCCTTTCATTTCCCAAAGACTCTCTCAGCTTGCTAGAAAGATGCATTATATAACATCATTTGGGTGACTCCTGCATATTTCTGTCCTACAACCATAAAGCTCAAGAGCTAGATATATGAATCAATCAGACAGGCCACTGTGAAGTCCCCTCTGTTTGAACACAGGTGACCCCAACAAAACAGATTTGACCAAACCCAAGATTGTTTATTAGCATCTATCTATTTACCTTCTCATAATACATTTTTCTAGGAACAGTATTTACTAAGTCAACTCTAATAGAATACAGCAACACTTCTACTATTATGTAATGGAAGTATCATACTCTGCTCTCTGCTTGGTAGAATTTTAAACTAACTATACCAAAATAACCAGAGCTACGTTCTTTTACTTACTAGATGTCAATGTTATGTCTTAATCTACCTCCTATGAACATGTTCACCTTTTGCTCTGCACTACAACCGTCAGCCCCCCGGCCCTGTAACAACACAGAATAAAAAGCAAAGAACTTTGAACTACAAAAATAAGATTGCTATACTGAAATTAAATAAAGACTGAAACAAGATCTGCCCTATTTTGCTATTTAAAGCAAATGCTTTCAATGAGAATACCCACAGGGTAACAACACTAAGAACAGCAACTAAAACGATGCCTGTGGTAAAAAGTATTAAAAAACACATTGATCTGACAACTGCTTAGTTTTCACGTGATTTTCTCCAGGCATCTACAATCATACTAGAAATGATATTGATGCAGTCAGTCAGTGCTCTCCACATTGCTTGTTCTTGCAAAGATGCACCTTTGCTGACCAAAGTAACATCTGGAATATCTTTTTCATTCATCAGCATTTGCACGTGGCAGTTGATTGATTAAAAAGAGATACTGTTCAAGAAGCCAAAGTAATAAGCAGTGTGATTAAATATCAGCAGGAGATGTCACGGCAGCTTCATTTAAGGCAGAACAAAGGAAAAAAATGGAAGTTATCATACACAGAAGTCCGATTCCTTACAGGCTACTAATACACTCATGGGCATCACTGCCAAATAACATTTCCTTTCCTTTTATGCATGCTGGCATCAGGCAAGTCCTGGAGAGCAAGATTTCCTCAGAAGCCCCAGCAAGTGGCAGCATGAGCCCAGCTGGTGCCTGGAAGGTGGCAAGTGTTCACCTGGATCTTCACAGCACCATCAGCAGAACCACAACCGCAGTATTGTTTATAATTTCAACTCTCTGGTTCTTTTAAGCTTCTAACCTCACTAATTCTCCTTCTCTGCCTTTCAAGGAGGGCATGTAGCCATTCGTTACTCACACTGTTTTAGGCCACAGCTGACAACAAACCCAGCCTCCGCTTCTTCAAATTCACATGCAACAGCCACTGAAGCTCAATGAGCGTGCCACGTAGCTCAGTTTTTAAGGCAGAGAACACAAACCCCCGCTTAAAAACAAGAGAAGAGCCCCTTCTGAGCTGCTGGGCCCTGCGGGGCGGTGACAGACAGCTGGCCTCGCTCTTGGGGAGGGAAGAATGGAAAAGCTTAAGCCACCAGCAGTCCTGCAACTGCAACGCCAGAACGCTGCCACAGCCCGGGAGAGGAGAATTTGGGCTAGAATACGTGTTTGTTAAAACAGGGCGTTGATTTCTTGGCAGCGGCGGCAGGCAGGAGACACCCCTAGTGTCGGCACGCAATACTACACGGCTCCGCGCCGTATCTCGGGGTTAATTTTACGGCAGTAAAAGGGAAATTTAAATCGCCATGATTAAAGGGAGCCGAGAGACTCCGACACGGAGCTCCCCGCACCCGGCCGGCTCGCCCGTCGCCACGGGCTACGTGCCCCAACGGCTCCCGGGCCGGAGATGGGCAGAACGAGGCAGGGGACAGCGGCGGCACCTGGGGAGAGGAGAGGAGCGGAGGAGGGGAGGGAAGGAGGGAGAGCCGTACGGGAGGCGGCGCTGAGGGCCGCGAGGGGCGGCGCGAACCCCCGCCGCGCTGCGGGGAGCACGGGGGCGGCGGAGGGGAAGCGGGGAACGCGGCCGCCCCCGGGGAGAGGGGAAAGAAGAGGGAAAAAGCGAGGAAGGGGAGTCGCGGGGGGGGGGGGGGCAGGGAAGGGAAGGGAAGCGCGGCGCCGACCCGCGAAGGACGTGGAAGGCTCGGAGGAGGAGACGGGTCCGAAAGCCCCCACTACGGTTTCCCCCCTCGCCGCCCACCCGCGCGGCCCGGCCTGGAATATTCGTCGGGACGGGAGCGGGGAGGCTCCTCACCATGGTGGCGGGTGGGCGTCAGGCGTCGTCCCCTGTAGCCGGATCCGCCGAGCCCCGCTCTGGCTGTCGCGCGCGTACGTTGGGCGCCGCCGCCGGGCCCGCTGCCCGCTCCGCTTCCTCACTGCGGCAGTGGCTGCTGGCGTTGACCCGCAACGGCGCGCAGCTAGCGAGGGCGGGGGCGCGAGCGGCGGTAACGCTCGGCGGCGGGGGCGGGGCCTCCCACATCCGGGCACCGCCGCGCCCCGCGCCGCCCTCGCGAAGGAGGCGGAGCGCGGCCGCGGCGTCTGCGGCGGGAGGGGGTGGTGGGGAACGGGACAAAATGGCGGCGGCGCTGAGGGCGTCGGTCGGTGCGGGGGGCGCTGCTGCTGTTGTGGCTTCTTCTTTGGGGGTCTTTGTAGGCTCTCCTTGTGCCATCTTGTTCTCTTGTGGAGTCTGCTACATAAGCCTCGTTGCTGGAGCTCTTGCTTCCTTTTTTTTTTTAGTACTTTTCCACAAAATAAAATAGAAGCAGGCAGAGGACGTGAGGACACGTTCCACAGGCCTTTTTGGAACATGCTTGGTGTTGTGCAGGTTTATAGGGAGCTGTCGCATTCGTGTGTGGTTATGCAGAACTAATGGATGCATCTTGTGCTGTGGTGGTTGTTAAAAGCCTGCCTACCTCTGTGTTGTTTCAGTGCCTGTAGTTTGGCTTTGCGTGCTGGATAATCTACGAAATAAAAGGACTGATAAGTACAAGCTAAAAGATGCAGTCTTAATAACGTTTTTGAGGTGAGATTTAGGGCAGTGTGACTGCTTGCATAAGGCTGACCCTTGGGGAGCAATCTGCATATTGCCAAGTTTCAAGTAGGCCAAGTGGTGCCTTTAAAAGTCTTAGTGAAGGGTAAAGTAATGTACCCTCACACATGAATGCTATGTTCTCTTTGTTGCTGTTGTATTTCTTTGTGGTTGCTCTATTGAATATGTTTGGAGTTTTTTTTGTTTTTTTGGGGCACCATAACGCTGTGCTCGCAGTGGTGCGATGAATGAAGTGGTGAATAGTAAATAAGAATTATGTATGGAATGTTGCTGTGTTAATGCTGCCAAAGAATAAATTCCGTACCGTGTTGATGTTGTCTTTCAGGTGTTTGATATTTGGCTCGCAATAGCGAGGTACTTTGCCAGGGAAAGGCAAATCCATCCTGCTGAGCTCAAGGGGAATGGCAACCTTAATTGTGTGAGAAGGGAACACTGGGTTATTTAAAACCACAGTAGGGTACTTAGAAGCGTAGCTGAGCATGAGCTCCCCAATCTAAAACAGTAGTTTTCCTTTTTCTTTAGCTTCTCAGGAAAATAACTGCTTTATCACTGTTGTTTGTGGGAGTTTGAGCTGATCTGTGGCCAGCAGAGGTCACCTTCAGAGTTCCTGGGGGAAAAAAAAAAACAAAACACAGCAGAATCTTGAGGTGGAAGTGTGTAAATGATGAGAGGAACAGGGAATCTTTGGTACAAAAGGCTGTTCTGGAAGCTAGATAACGTGTAAATGTGGAGCTCTAGAACAGATAAGAATTTCTCATCTAATAGACTTAAAGCATGGTGATAAATGCGCAGCTCTTAGAAAGTATGTGTAAAAACATATCTCAGGTTCTGCTATGGAGCTGGTACTCAGCATGCTTTCAGGTCTGCAGAAAGAGATAAGCTTGACTGGGAGGAATAGATTGTAGAGGAAAAAATCTAGCAGTTATGAGGAAATGAGAATGTGGCAACGAGTAAAACCAAATGGTGGCAAATGAAAAGTAGTTGCACCAAAAGAAAGCAAAACAAACAGTAATGCAGAACCATAAGCTTTACTTTAATAGTGAAATAGGAGAAAAGGCCTTGGTGATAGGAACCTGAGCCTTGCCGCAGCAAGAGATGATACAGCATGAAGTGGTCCAGCCCAGGCAAGGAAGACCCCACCTCTTTCACTGCCAGGTACTGCAGCTGCTCTCAGGGGAGCTAAAAAATAAAAATCTGGGAATAAAAACTAGTATTAAAACTGACTGGGCAGAAATTCTAATGTCAAACAGCATTCCTGCTTATCTCTCTGCCACTGCAGCCTTATCTAACAGATGCAAATCTGGAGTAAAAATTGGCTAATCCAAGTTGAATATGGCTAGAATTTTTATGGCAGAAAGTAATGTGACTAAAATAAACAGCAATGAGAAATACAATACCTTAACCGTTACCTTTTTAGGTTTTGAGTAGAGACAGCCAAGAGCTCATGAAAATATATTTTTTTATCTCATAAGGCAGCTGTGTCAGTGTTCACAGTTTTGAATCTCTTGATGCAGTACAAAGTCGCAGTAATTAATTTTAATTTTTTTTTGTTGTGTCAAAGCTACTTTTATATCCAGCTTCTAAAAGATGTTAAAAATGCAAAATGGCACTTGTTAGTGTGTAACCAAGTGCAGAAAGCCATGACTTGCCTTTAATCATTTACATTATATTATCACATTTCTGAATAGTATTCCTGCAGGTACCAATGTTTAAATCTATTTTTAAAGTTTCAGGCAGTTCTGCATTTTGTCACTTCCTGGGCCTTAATAAAGCTCATTTTGCAGCATAATTATAACCATTAAAACTTGGATAAGTGTGTATTTTAATGTAATGGAAGGTTGTTATGGTTACAGATAAATGAACAGGTAAGTTAACTATGTACCTGTTTATGTTCTTTGGTGTCATAAACAGTAATAATGTGGTTTGCATAGTATTTGGCCTGGAAAACAAATTCCATGCCCCTGTTTATGTGACTGGGCTCCTGCTGCAGTTCTTTCATAGCATGCTCCTTTTAAAGTGCTAATTGTGGTGCCTCACCTTTCTCTTATTTGCTTAAGAATTTGTGTCTTATATGTGTGCACATCTAGATCTATGATGTATCTTTGAGCGTATCTTTCTCTCCCTTTGTGCTGATCTTCATACAAACATTCTTTACTTGCAGATGTCACAGGATGTATTTTGCATGGAGCATTTGCCTCTCTGCTAACCCAGGCTGAGGGCTGCCACCTAATTAAATAATCTTCTGTCCTGACCCTTCAAAGGCTGTAAGCAGCTTTTCCCAGCAAAGCAGGTAACCTCTTGGGACAGAGCAGTGAAGCTTGAAAAAGCATTTATGTGTTCTTATTGGTTCCAGTTGTGTTTTCTTTTTTTATCTTAATATTTCTTTAATGCTCTAGAAGGCAAAAGGGGAAGCTATCTTTTTAGGACCTACTTTTTTTTTTTTTTTGTGAGAGCTACAAAGGGATGGGAGGAGGGCTGTATTTCATCAGGAAAAGAGAAAAGACTGTTGTAATTTCTGTCTAAATAGCTTTCCTCAGCATGTTTGAATTGCACTGGTACTACAGATCCTGAACTCTATAGTCTGTAAAACTGACGCACCATGTTCATTTATTTCATGCCATTTGTAATAACTGGTAGAATAATAGGCACATCTAAAGATATAATACTGACTGGAACTGACAAATGCATGGAAAAATAAAGTACTTCTCATTGTATTTTTCTTACACCTACATCTGTCTATTCAGTTGAAAGAAATCAAAAGGAGCCTGCCCTTGTTTTCTTGCATATTTGTGTGAGCGTGTATAAATTCCCACGTCTTGGGAGGAGAAAGAATATTTTTCAGATCCAGTGAGCACACAGAAGGAAAAATGGTCAAATAAATGGGTTAGGGACACAGGGGAACACTGTTCTCTTTACCTAGAAGATTGAGAAGGGGACTCTTTAAAGTCAGGAGCAAAGGAAGGGCCACAGAATTCATGTGAAGTCGTAGATTAATAGGGAGCTTTTTGGTAACTTGGTTGTTTTGCAGCTCTGAAGAGCATTAGATTTCAAACTGCTAGACCTGGTTTGGATGTGAAGTTGCCTTGAGCATATGTGCACTTACTGAAGCACTGTAAATATTTCTGTAGATCTTACTGCCCAAGGTGTTGTAGAATTAAATGCCTTGAGAGCAGGATTATTTCTTCCAAAGCTTTCATTTTGAGCTCTTAGTGGTAATTAAGAGCCCCCAAGAACTTCAATCCACAAAGTGCAAATCACTGCAGTAAACTTTTCTCTTTTTTTTTTCTTTCTTTTTTTTTGGCTTAACTGTGTTTTACCAAGTGGTCTTCTGGTTTCCTGAACTTACTGTCAGTGCTGGCTAGGATTAGCTGAGGATAAGAATGCCTTCTGTATCTTTGACCCTGTACCTGTAGTTGTATCGCTGTGTCAGATAGCTCTCTGCAGAACAAATATATGGAAATAATTTGCAAGGAAGACTGAGACTGAAAAGTTACTGGGTTTTTTTGAGGCTGTTCTGTTGGCATACTAATTTAATATGGTGATATTACTTGCCTAGCAATTAATGGCATCCAACTGTAGCTGGACTTGATATTATTGATTGCTTTGGTTGTTCTGTTTTGAAGATATTTGTTCTGGGGAATTTTGATAAGCATGGGCTGACTACTCAAAGACTGCATGAAGTGCTGCAAGCATGAGTACAGTGTTTGATTTTTCACTGATATCCTCATCTCCCACAGCTGTAGAGGGTTATTGCTTTTATTCAACTCTACTATGGATACCCAGGCATTGGTCTATTTGTGAATGTTTTATCTTCTCGCAGGAACTGATTAAACAACAGAGATTGGCCTCCACACAGGATATTAATGAGCTATTAATGTATGTGACTTCAATCTTGTGGAAATAATCACTTGAATTATCTTAAAAGTACCTGTTTTCATCACTGGCTGACTGTTTCAGGCTCTGGCCAGTACAAACTCTGAAAGTGATGACTCAAATAGCAAACAGACTGATAATTCAGTAGTGAAGCAGTGGCATCTTAACCAAAATAATGCCAAAATGTCTTTGTATTTTACTTCTTTCACTTGTAGCAGGGAAAAAGCAGGGGAACTGCTTGATTGTTGATCCCCTAACGGTTGGAACAACAGTTGAATACCAGTTGAGGAACTTGACTCTTTCAAGACGAACCAAAATAGGTGTTGCTGTCACGTTGAATGCCCTTTAGCGTAGCAGTTTGTGTTGTGGGGAGTTCAAGTAATGTAGTGTTCTGTGTAGGAACACTCTGTACGCTCTGTAGGAGTTCTGTGTATTAACTCTTCCTGTTCATCATGGAGGAGTAAATGAATGGCATTAAGAAACTCTATGGTGTCATACAGTAAATTGTGTCCTTAGCTGTGCATCTTCATGTGGCTTTGGTTGCTGTGATCTCAGTGCTCATAAAATCCGTTTTAGTTTGCAGTGCCATCATGTGTGTGAAATGAAATAAGTTGTTAGAGCTTTCAAGGAAAATGTGATGCAGCACAATCAGATATATCCATGCAAATGAACGTTCAAGGCCCTCTTAGCTGAGGACACAGGACTATGCTGAGGTAAGTAATATTTTACATTTTCTGAGCATTGTGTTTGTGTGTTTTTTTGTGTTTTTTTTCACTGTGTACTTCTGCTCCATGCAGGCACTTTCTCAGAAGCTTATTTTGAGGGTTCTGTGGCTTGTGGTTTCAATTTGAGAAGCAGGAGGGAATGTAACCCTAAATGCCAATTGAGTTTGACTGGCATAGGATGTGATTTTTGCTATGGAAGTTCGAAGTGCATCTAAGAATTCAAAGAACTTTCATTTGGTGTATATTTATAGCTGTGAGAAGTTTTGCTACTCCACATGTTGCATGGCAAAACTGGTTTTGGAGAATCCCTTTTCTTGAACTCTAGAGCACCTCATTTATCACTGTATCATCACTGGGTACAACACTTATCTCAAGATCACTGTAGTAAGAAATTCTGTGTTTGCAGCACAGGACTAGAAAATTGCCTCCTCTGGTGATGTCTATAACTTCATTCCTGCTCTGCTGCTTTTGGTAGAAGAGTAAGCTTATTCTCATGCATTTGCATGGGATGTCTGCATTTGGTGGTTTTTTTGTGTGTGTTTTGTTGTTTTTTGTTTTCTTTTGTTTTTCCCTGTAGAGCTCATTCAGGTTCTCAATCCAAAGTGTTTGGGCATCTTAGCTATTATCCTTTCACCCTGATGTTGGAAGGGTTAGATTCTGTTAATTTGTGTTTCAAATAGACCATTAGAAAATGGTCTAATGTGTTTAGAATAGACAGTTTAGAAAAGAACCATTAAAATATTTAGCTTCCTTGTATCATCCTTTTCCTTGGAGGAGATACGAGTTTGTGCACTGTTTAGTGCACAGTTGTAACGGTTGCTGGGAGCTCTTGCTCTGCTCAGAAGGTAAAGAATCCCTTACAGGATGTTAAACTCTGTTAATCTGAAGATTTTATGTGCTCTAAATCTTTGGGCCTTCATGTTGCAAAAGGATTTCTAATTAAGAGGGGCAATTGCCAGGGATGGAATGCAGCTTGTTTCTGTGGTACACTATTAAGTCCTGAGTCTTCTGCTTCCTTTCTGCTCGGCGAGGTACTGGTGTAGAATGGATTTATACATCAGTGGATTTTAAATTAGTTTCTGATCAGTCATGCTGTTGCTGAGCTCTCTTACAAGAATTTGCTGGAATGGGGGCTTTTCTTTTACAGAAGGACCTACCTGGGGGGAGAACAAACAAATCAAACAGGAACAACAGAACCTCCAGTCTTTGTTGGTTATGGGTAAAATATGACCAGTAGTGATTCTAGTGATTTTTAGCTGAATCTTTTGTGATGTAAGTGTATGTGCAGATTGTTATAACTAAATAGTATCATCTCATTAACGTGGTGCTCGGCGTGGGGGGGAAGCAATTATCTGTTAAGGAACTTAAAATTTTTCATGCCTTTTCCTATTCAGCTGAAGTTGATTTCTGAACACTTTTTTGCAGTCATATGGGTAGCTGGTAAAATTGCAGATGCACAGGCAGGTGAAGTACACAGCTGTACTTCCCAATGCTCTGAGAGCTGTGCAGTGCATGTAAATCTTGTTTGCTTTTTTTTTAATAAATAATCTTGTTTAATGCTATTATAAGCACGTTACCTCTGAGTTATGCTACAGCTGCGTGCGTCCCAGCTGGATAAAGATTGAATGCGGTGTGTGCAGTTCTGGTGTACCAAGTGTTCTGCACATAGAAGCAGCCCACCATTCTGACAAGCCTTCTTGGTGAAGGTGCAGTCGGTGTTCTTTCCCTTTTACAACTCGCACCAAGTTTGGACTAGAATAAACAGCACTGTAGTGGCTTCCTGGTCAATGTAATTTGCTGTTTTCTGGCTGACTTAGGCTCACAGGATTATCTTGCTACCTCCCTATTGCTAACCACCAGAGCTAAAAGTGTGGCCATGTCTGGGAAACGTTTATGTTTTGGCCCTCTTTCAAATAGGAACAATTCTGAGAAATACTCCCTCTTTGCATGGTAAAGCAGGAAGCATGCTACTTACTGATTTGGTATGTGTAGCCAAGAATAAAATACAGGTCAGAGATACTACCTTGCCCTTGTAGCTATCAAGTCTATTGCTCTAGCAATACTTTGAGCAGAACCTCAGTAGCAATCATCCAACAGCTTTCATTCCCTGTGTCTGAATACAGTAATCCTACATCAGAGTGGCAGATTCATTAATGCCTCTGTACTAGGGAACACATGCCCAGTCCTCATCTGATCAAATGCATTGCATTAGGTTTAGCTTGGAATGTGGGGGAAAAGGAGGAGTATGTGTGTATATATATATATGTATAATCCTCTTGGAAGTAAACCCTATTCTCCCTCTGCTGACAAGGACAGTCTTGATCAGTAGCGTGCCAGTTGTGGACACATCTGGTATAGTGAGAATTTGGCCAGCCCAAATGAAGGCATCCTCTTTATTTTTTTCACTCAGATATATAAATGATGCTGAACCTTTGATGCTGAACGACCTGCAGCCTTTGTGTGGGCTGTTAGCTTTTTTTAAGCACTGCTGTTCTGAGTGCAATAAATAGATCATACTTCAGATTAACTCTTCAGGGAACCCATTTTCATTCTAAACTGGTTGTCTGCACTCAGAAACCTTTGAGTATGGCCTAAAACTGTTGCAAACCTTAGGAGGTCAGAGCCTTTAAACTAGTAGTGTGGAGTAAGCAGTCTTTTAAAAATAAGGACAAAGACTTCCCTAAATCTGGGCTTTGTTGCTTTCAGGGCTTCCCAGTTCCTGTAAAATCTGAGTGACCCTTGGCACAGTCTTTTAAAGAGGAAATGCTGCTAGCTAGAGAATGGCAGGGAATATCTAAAGTCTGAAAAGCTTTTAGTATTAAAGTAAAAAACAAACAAGAAAACCAATATCCATCATCAAAGCAGTCATAGCTGAAGATCTCTACGGTGCCTGGCATCAGTGAATAAAGAAGTAGATTATTAGAGGTTCCTTAACTGAACTAAAATATAACTTAACCAGGTGCTATATCATATTTGAATTCATGTTAATGTGGTGTGAAATGTAAATAAGAATTAAGAATAAGAACCTGCCCTAGTGTGCAAGGTTTGGGAATGTGCAGATTCACTGCTGCGTAGTTTTTAAGTATCTTGTTTGTGTAATATCTAAGGAAAAACTCACGTCTCCAATGGTAAATGCTTAAGTTTATTGGTATTTTTCTAAAGTTTAGTTTGCATTTTAATGCTCAGCTGGTTAATTTTGTTAGTCATCAAACAAGTCAATTTAACCTGCTCTGAATATGTGACCACATACATCTGTCCCATCCTTTGGAATGCAACAGGAGGTTAAAACAGTTCTTCATTCATGGATATTCAGCCTTTGCGTCCTTCTTTCTTCTCCTATGTGCTCCAGGCAGTCTGGGGATGGGTGGGGGGAAACTCTGCAGATAGGAGATGTGAATGGTTTCCTGTGAATTGTCCTGTTCCACCAAGATGCATGATTGAGTTGGAAGTGTTCCGAATCTCTGGGCAGAGCAGTGAGAGCTCGTTGCTCACAGCAGGCTGCCCCATCCTTACAGCTGGCTTACAAGCTCTCCAGCATCCTCAGTTTGTGTGTATGGTGTGGTCCTGTTCAGGAGCAACACAGTGGCCGAGTTCTCCTGAAGTATCCTGTGGTAACATGTTCCTACCTGATGCTGTAGCACTGAAGAGTAAAGAAGGCCAGTTTTTGATTATTTTCAAAAGATGATAGAAGCTGAACAGAATAGTTCACTTACACAATTTCAGGCGTTAAAAAAAGTAGAAGAAAAATCTTAAGCTACATATTTTCTCCAATTCTATGTCGTGCAACTATGGTGAATCTATTTTCCTTCAATTAAAGATCTGAACCTTTACAATTACTGTTCATTGCTTAACTGAAAATAGGGTCTTTAAGACTGTGCTGTAGGAGTTTGAAGACAACACACAGTTTGAATACATAATAAGAAAATGTACTTTGAGACTGCTAGTCGGTACAATAAGCAGTTTAGCTGGCTCTTGGTGTAACTGATAGCTCAGTTAGATAGTATCAGTGTTTGGGGATGTCTGGTACTTCACTATGGATTATCTTGCAGACTTTCATGAGTGCTTTGGGAATTGGTAATCGTGTTTTAAAGGATAAATGGAGGTTGTTTGACCTTATCGTCTCCCTTTGCAGTGATGTTCTGTTCCTAGCATCTGTAACTAAGTACTCAGTGGATACAAGGATCACTTTGATAAATATGTAAATATTTGTCACTTAAAATTTTTTAGAAAGAAAAGGGCTGCTTAAGATCTTTGATTCCAGTGGTCCCTTGAGAGATTCCAATTCCAAGCCTGAATTTTTTCCATCAAATACATCCATTGTCTTCAGTAATAAATTTGCATACAAACTGGAGGAAGCAGCTTGGCCTATTCTTAGAGCAAGTCAAGATTACGCTCTACTTCTTCTTGAACAGCTGTACCTCTTCCTTTATTGTGTACCAACAGTGTGTGCAAGGCAGGGAAGTCTTTGCTGTGGAACAGTTTGCAGCCTAAACGCAGAGGCTGAATAGTTACTCAGTTCCTTCATTAGGGTTAAGATCCCCTATTTTTTTACTTGTAGGTTGTAATATGCAGAAAATATGCCAAACATGCAGACGTGTGTATCAGCTCATGCTGTGCTTCAGGAAGAGTATCCACTGACTGTTGTTGCTGCTTCTCCTATTGGATGTTTTCCCCATATGATATATTTACACGAACCGGTGTGTGGCTGCTCCCAAACTCAGTTCTTAAAATATTATCTGTGTTAACTTAAACACTTTATGTACTGAAGATTTTGTAAAGGTTTGAGAGTTGGACTGGGGAATGGATGCATGTTTGTGGACTGGGGAGAATGGGGGGAGAGGGGGAAGAATAAATCAGTGGAAGAGTGGTAATAGTAAGTGGCTGGGAGCCAAAGCCTCTTTACTTTGCCTACTGTCACCAAAGCCCCACCTCCAACCACAGTTGTAGTTATTAGCATCCATCGAGTGGTTAAAGCTGGATTTGATTCTCAGACTTCTGACAGCAGCATTGGATCTGGGTCAGGCTGAGATTCAGAGGGAGTTCAGTGCAGGCAGACAGGGAAGAGCTGGCATCATAGTGGAAAGAATGAGGCAGCTCATCAGCTGGCAACACTTCCACTGTGTTTTGCCAATCATTTGTTTTTCTTCAGGAAGGAATTCAGGGTTTGGTTAAATTTTGTTGTCATTTTTTATAGTCACTTATCCTAGGAAACCATCTTGTCTACTCTGAATTTAGTATCTTTTTGGCAAATAGTTCTCCTGTGATTACTGATTCATACACTTTTGAAAAAGGATGTAAACTACTTGAGTTTCTGAACTGCGTATTTAAATTCATTTATTTCAGCTTACTGCTTTTACAGTAATCTTAGTTAGGAAATAAAAGCTTCTGTTTTGCAAGCAGGAGTGATTAAATTTAGTAGTTGCATAGAAGTAAAGGACTTACTCATTTTTATTCAGATAAGAGATATCGCTTACGTTTTATAAACAGTGAAATCAGTTCCTGTAATCATTCCAGTTTTTCATAAGCAAGAACTTAAAACACGTAAAGCCAAGCGTTGTCTTCATCTCTAGGGAGCTGAGCACTTTAGTTCACAGAAGAGCTGGTATTCTTTGACTAATTTTCCATGTGCTTTTTGTTAGTTCTTACCATAAGCTTAAATCATCATTAATTTACTAATGTCTAATAATGATCATTAAGCTTTAATATGTTAATAACTTTTCTTTTTATGTCTACTTAGATTAAAAAAAAAAAAAAGCAATAACTTCTTGTGAGAAGGACAACTATTTTCTTGAAGGGAAAATTTACCTAATTTTATATATAAACATTTATTGCATGCTCATCACCATAGTAACTGAGGCATCAAGTCAGTGAGCTTTGCTGAGCAGGGTTGCAAGCACTACAGTGAGCCAAAGCCTGAACTTCAGTGTGAAAGTGCAGTTCCTCAGTTGGTTGAGGCACAGCTCATTCTTGCTACTTGTTCCTGACCTCTTCCTTCTGCTAGTATTTGTATTCCTGTGGCTGTGAGTGTGGTGGGATTGGGAAGCTGATCTGACTGAAAAATAGCTCTTCAAGTCATCGTGTGCCAGATCAGCCTTCTGATGTGACTGACCTGGTGACTGTCTGAGTGCTGGCAAGGCATGGTGGGAAGAGACAAGAATTAGCAACTGTGAGAAATGTGGGGAGAGACAGTGCCCTTCCCTGATATGGCTTAAGCTGATTATAGAAGTGCTGGTAGAGTTCAGGGCTTGATGATGTTGGAGCTAGAAAAATTGAAAGCCAGGTATTGGCTTGGGTGTTCAGTCGCTGAGTGAGGAGGTGATTGAATCCATATTCAATTTGAAGTGTTTTTATGGCTTCAGCAATGTATTCCTGAGCCAAGCATACGTTCTGCCTATAGTGAAATGTTGCCTTGAGAAAAGAAAATGCTAAAAGGATGGAAATTCAATGTCTCTTTCCTGATGGGACCTGTCTTCTGTTCATCTCTGAGAAGTAGCTGTGGGATTTTAACTGGATGTTTGCTTCAGGAGGTGGGATTCACTGTGTTACAGTCTACTTGATTTTCAGCTTTTTCTTTTTATCTCTGTCTAAACAATTGCTTTCAGGAAAGCCTTTTCTTTTTAATGTAGTTTGCTGCAGCAATAAAGTTTGTGGCTAGTTATTTCTGTAGCTTATTTGTAAATACATCTCAGATGTATTCGTTTCTTGGCTGTTCACTCTGTCTTATGAAGCACTGCAGTTGAATGTGTTTTATAACTACATTTGATTGAACAGAACTTTATAGATTGGGCTTTAAAAACAGGTTTGTCCTAAAAAAAGCTTGATGGCTCTTATTTTTTTATCTGCAATGGAAACCAGACCTTCATTTTGAGCCTTTGAAATCATGGTGCCATTTTATTTTCTAGCATACTTTGGCTCACTTCACCATCCAAGGCCCTGATGCTATAGGGAGCTGCACGTGCACTCAGAAATGCTTGTTTCTAGTGGTACCACTGATTTATTGCTCCTCACGTACTGTTAGATGATTGGAAGATGATCAGGTATAAGAACATTTAAGTTACTTCTGCAGAATCTGCAAAAAGATAAATGATTTGCAGGTGTAACACTGCGCTGTGGTTAATCACACTAGCAAGCCACAATGTGAAATATATTCTTGGATAGCCATTTATAGTCTTGAGTTTTTAAGAGCTGTAGCTCTGCTTTTGGCTTGGTTAGCTCCTGTGGCTGTTGTAGATTACATCTGCAATCACATTGTTGCCAAGCTTCCACTCTAGCTTAAGGTCATGTTTACTACTGCGCAACTGCATAGTGAAGAGTTGCAGTAAAAGCAAAATAAACTTAAAGACTTTTGACAAAGCAGCTTAGTGTCATACTGTGGGAGCCTCACAGCTAGTGGATATTGGGCAGAAACTCAACTGACTGTAGACCAAAGCAGAATGTTGTTGGCAGCAGTTAAATTTTACTGCTTCATTATAGCCAATGTGTCCTTGACTGCAGCTTTAATAAAAACATTTTGTGCATGATCAGGGCACTGTTTAAAAAAGACCATAGATGTAAGAAAATGGGTCTCTACAGCTTCCCATATGTGGAGTTAGAACTGTGCAAGGTTTTTATCTCATAGCTGGATTGAGTGATCTGGTTGCCTCCTAGAAGATGAGCGTTTTAAATTTCTGGCACTGCTGATGAAAGGAATGCTATTATTGGGACACTTGAGTTGCTGTAACTTCTCTAGGGAATGGATATAGAGGTTAAATGTGGTCCTCCCAGGTGCAGGTTAAGGTACGGTGGCAGTGAAGTGAAGTAGAGCTTTCCTTATGGCTGTAACTGTAGCTATTTGCAATTGAAAACAAACAGAAGAAACTCCCCTGAAAGACTATTACTCCCAATGACATTTTGAGAAGCATTTTATAGCTAGCTTTAGTGAGGAAGGCGTATGCAATCATCCTGTGTATGCCCTTCTAACACATTTGGGCTCGTTATTCAGTTTCATCTGTGTTTATCAAACACAGATGAAAATTCTCCAAAATAATAGATTTTATTTTCCAATTTCAGTTCCTGAAGGGCTGAGAAAACTGGTATTTGGTGATGATTTTGCTAACTTTCTGAATGTGTTGCAAATAAATGTTTGAAAAGCTCACAGAAGAGTGTTAGATCTGGAGATATAATAAAGTTCTGTCTTGACTGAGTATGGTTTGTGTGCTTTCACGTCCCAGTTAACTTGACATGATCTAAAACCATTCTTCACAACTGAACTGAGCTCTTTCTTCCACTGTAGGTTACTTTTGCTAATCTTTTATGTGTGATTTCCTAGTATAGACAAGATTAAAAGCACTTTAATGACTTTGATCCTCATGTATTAGGGAGGGACTAAAGTACCAAAGAGGAATAAATTTGGGTTCCTTTGTTTCAATATGATATGCTTCAAATCTCAGTAAAGGTTCCCATGTGCTGTCTAAATAAACTTTCTTAAATATCAGGTATCTTTGGGGAGGTTTTTCTACTTCGATGCAGGTCCTGCTCACATTTAATTGTTCCAAATATGGAAGGTAAGAACACTTTTGTTTCCACTGATTCTTCACAATTGCAAATTATTTAGAAATGGTGGCGCGTTACACAGAGTGCTGTGTATTTTTTTTTATTTCCAGCAGTGAGGCAAATACCCTAAATAAAGCTGTTCTGGATCATAAAAGGATTGAATGCCCTCCATGAAGCTTCATGCATGTTATAAAGACATCCAAGCATCATGTGAGCATTTCATGTTCTACACGTGAACTTCCAGATCCGTGTATTAACTTTATTGCTCTGGAGTGGGAAGCAATGTAGTTGCCTAAGTTCAAGTTTCATACTCAAACAGCGTCGTAAGTCCAGTGAGCTGTGATTTGTGTAGAAACTGAAGCAGAGAAGCTCTGGTAAGTGTTCTGTTTTGCTGTGTTTGTATTCTGCACTTGAACTGCCAGGCAGGAGTTAAATGTTGCCCTCTGGAGACTGCAGTTGGACTCTCCAGCCACATTTCTGTTCTTTAATTAAAATTGTGGTATGCCTCTTATGTGAGAGTATCGCAGCGAGGAACCATATTGGGAGTAAAGATCTGGTACTCATTAATGATCAGGGTTAAATAGACACGTAGCTTACTGAGGACCATACTCTATCATTTGTTTTTGTTAATTTGGAATAAGTAGTAATTCTGTATAATAGGCTTGGAGGGCTAGAGAGACAAATTATTGTTTTAACCCTTCGTTTTATTAGAAAGCAATGCTTAGTAGGGGAAAGCACATTCTTAATGGTTATCAGTCCCGTGTCTATGGAGCATACTGATTTTACAAGAACAATACAGAGATAAATAGTCTACAGTATCACTTCCAGTACAATCTTAATTATGGAATACTTCTTTCAGAGAAATAACTCTTTAGGCCAAAGTAGCTTTTGTGAAAAATGCTTTGTAAGGTTTTCCAATGACTCGAGCAAGCAAATTGTGTTCGTTGCTTCTAGTCAATTTTGTGTGTGTGTGTTAGAATTCAATTTCTGCTAAATATGCTTGAAAATAGAAAGGTTTTGGCAGAATTTGAGTTGGCATGTGTTCTGCTAAACTTTATTTGAAGAAATAACTATATATTTTTTTTTCCAGACATCATTATGATTAGGGTATACTTTAAGTAACAGGAGACCACTGCTCCCTTTCTGGACTTGCCTGAGAATTTTCTGTTTCTTAAAGTGTCTAATGTCCCTTTTTCTTTCAACTCAACTAAACCAGAAGGGTGTTTAGCAGCTTTGAAATTCAAGCTACGTATCTAAGTTTCCAACTTTGACCAGAACATTTTGGATCACTTTATAAGGTGATTGCTAGAACTGGAGTTAACTCAAGTAACTTGTGTTTAACAACCTTGACTTCTAATTACCCACTTTGTATTCTGTCACTTGCCTTTTTTTTTGTCTTGGAGCAAAATCCACTCCAGTGTTTTATGTTACTCAGTTGCAGTTTCAAGTTGTACGCAAGTGATTCTTCTCAGGAAGATCTTTAAAAGGGCCTCGTTAAAATTTGGAGGGGGAGAGGGGAAAACTAGAAGAATAGTCAGGGGATGAGTGTGAACATCGGAGCTGCCTTTGTAAGCTGCAAGTCTTGCTGAGATGCTTGATGGCAAGTTTGCTTTTTAAGTTATGACAAAACGGACCTCATGAATGCTGTAAATGTGTTCCTCAGAAAAGATTTTTAGTTGATGTAAAGAGAATTATCCTTCTGAGATCTTGGCTGTGTTGCAAAATGTACTAACAAGAATGCCTTTTTAATTTGCTTCCTGTGTTAAAGCTTTGTCAAACGCACACTGAACTTCCAGGAGGATCTCTGAACATTTGATTTTTCTGAAACATCAGTAACGTGTAATTATGGTGGGGAAAAAAACTTGGACAGCTTCACATAGCTGTCTGTTTTCTCTCTGGGACTTATTAAGTGTTATACAAACAACTCTCTCTCTTCAGTTGCCTTAGGTTGTATTGGGACTTGCAGTCTTTTCTCAAACTATGCTGTCTCGCCTGTTTTGTTTGGTTATTAATATTCTGTTAGCTATTTACATTTGCCAAATAACATGATAATTTTGCAAGGTTTATCATCTATGAGCAGGAAATGTTTTTTGTTCTGAAAAATTACTGAGAGCACAGAGTGTGATGTGACATGGCCTGCAGATTGTTTGGATGACTTCTTTCCAAAATGTTAGAGCTTTTGATTAAAGATTGAATTCTAGGTTATCAACCCAGAACTGGCCTTTCTGACCTGTCACTTCTGGCTTTCTCTTTAAATGGTTGTGTTGTGCAGCTAAGTCTATCTTTGCTAGAGTTAATTACGTGTAAGCCAAAGCACAGCAAGCACGCTTGTAGCACAGTAGGCTTTGAAGTAACAGCAAGTTACTTCCTTCTGCTGAAGTCACTGCCTTCAAAGGCAGTGAAGACTTACAGTGTTTTTTAAGCCATTACTTCAGTTGTTTGGAGGAGAGGGTTCTGAGCAGCAGGTGCTGTTTTTCATGTGCCTAGTCATCAATCAAGATAGCGAGGCCTTTGGAGCAGGAGGTGTATTTCACCTGATCCTTACCCCCGCGTTTGGCTCCGCGGAGCTTTGATCTGTGTTTAGATCAGTGTGTATGTATTTGTATATATAGATCTGTATAAATAGCAATTAGGGATTCACAGCAGAACTGTTCCTCCCAACTCAGAGCAAAGCTGGGACTGGGCAAGTAGGCTGTCTTCAGTTTATCATGTGTTGTGGGTGCACAGACTCACAATGCATTCTGAAACACAGAATGTGATGCCTGTGCTTATTACTGATCTCATACAAAATATGTTTACTCTGATATTTTGAAACATTACCACAACAGGCCTCAAGGGCTCGTTGTCCCCTTTGTGTGCATGTGTTATTTGAATGCCACTATTGACAATGGCAATAAGCTGTACCCAGGAGGAGGAGGATATACCTGTTGTGCTGTAAGTTGGACAGCAGGGAACGAGGAAGTCCCTAGCTGCTAGGTGGTGTGAACAGCACAGCTTCAGCATCACTCCCTGCTGGCTTGTCACCTGTGAGCTTTGTGTTCTTTGCTAAGGAAACAGTAGTGGAAGCAGCAACTGTGAAAGTTGGTGATAGCTCAGTGCTACCTTGACAGAAACTGCTGCTCAGAGCTCCAAGTCAAGTGTGAGACAGAAATTTGAGCAGTGGAGGAAACTGCCATCTGGGTTAACCCCAGTGAAAGCTGAATTTCACTTGTAGCTGAATTAGCAAGTGGCTGTCAGAGAGAAGATTGGGTTGGTTTCTTTCCTTAGAATTACATTTTCAAATTTGAGCTCAGTTATTTCTTTCAGTTGTTAGGCCACATTTGATCTGAAGATGTCCTGTTCTTTGAACTACTGTGATTTATTGTTCCCCTTAAGGTCTGGTCAGCTGATCGCTTCAGTCGTGTGAGTCAAGTTTATGTGAGTCAGACGTGTGCAGACATAAATGGTGCTGTTGGACTTGAAGTTCTGAGATTTATCTGCTCTGTGTACTCCCTATATTACGGAGGAGGAGGATGGGGAGCAGTAATAATGTGACAGAACACAGGGGGCTGAGAAAGGGTTGAGCTTATAAATGCGTGATCTTTGATTTTTCGTTTTTTTTCCCCACATTTTCTGAATCTGCTTTGCTAATCCTGTGTGGAAGCTGTCAGGCGTGGGGTCCTCCAAACTGTTTGGAGCTCCTACACGTTTCCAAAACGAGAACTGCCAAAGAGCTTGTCATCCTTGAGAGAGAAAGCTCCCTCGTGTGGATGAGAGGAACGGCTGCAGTGATGAGCAGCAACGTTAGGGTCTCGCACTGTGGTTGTAAGTTCTTAGGATTTTTTTTCCCCAAAGCAAGTCATTCAAGTTTTGTATGCGCTGCTTTCTAAAGCTGTGTATCAGCATCTAGCTGTTTGCTATATGTGTGCAAGTCCAAACAGTTTAAGTGATGTGACCATGAAGGGAGCTAAAGCAGTTGATTATTGAATCAAGTTTTATGTAATGATTATGAATACAAATGTATATTTTACATACATACAAATCCTTCAATGTTACAGAAATTTCTGTAAATTATACTTCATAGAACTTACATTAAACTTCAAGGTTTTTCTTTTTATTTTTCCCTTTCCTGAGCATGTATCCCAAAGTGTGTTTATGTATTTCAAAAATATCTATCAAAGTGATTTTGGATCTTGCTGCAGTTTGGAGTCCTTGGCTCAAAGCCCTATCTGATTTATCAAGTGCAGCTGCACAGTAAGTATAAAGATGAATTTGTGATGGAGGAGAATTCATCTTGACACCAAATTTCGTTTAGAAATTTACTTCTGGGCTGAGTAGGATTCATGCTTGTGATCTGAAGGCAGAAGGCTGTATCTCATTAGCAAAACCCAGAGGCATTTACTTCCATAAATGCTAATACTGTTCCCCTGAGAATGAAGTACTTAATGCGGGTGAAGAGAGGCACATAATTTAGAGTTACAGTGGAGGTTTACATTTATCAGCTCAGATTCATTGCCAGGTAGAGGAATGAGACAGCAGAGTGTGCTGACCCAGTGCAAAGAAAAAAATAATAAAATGCTGCACTGGGATTTGCTATTGGGTCTTGTTAACTGGTAAAATGCTAAAGAAAGAGCTTGTCCAGAGCTGTCTGGATTCTAGCTTGTGGAACATGGCTCTACAGACATAACTGAACTTAGGGAAGCATGGGATCTGAGATTTTTAACAATACACAATGGTGGAATGAGATTTGTGTCTGTCTTCATAAATTCTGCTCATTTTGAGATAGTTTGGAGTTATCTTTTCAGTGAGGGATAGTTACTCTAGTGAGAAAATAGCATTCTCCTTTGAGAGCTGTGAACAAGGAACAGTTGGATAAGCAGTCCTTGTGGTTGTGCTTGTCAAGAAATGCATGAGCCTGAACTTGTGGGGAAGCAGGAACTTTTCAGGAGGCTGCACACATATTGGAGGCTGATAAACAGGAGAATGGGGAGTGCTGGGAGAAGCACCCTGATATGTGGTTTGGAGCTGTGCCAGCTCACTACATCTCTGCCTGTGATGCACTGCTAGATCAGCAGTACTGAAAAGATGTTCCTTCTGCCTGTAAGTACTTGGACTACGCTCTGTGAGGTCACAAGGTGTGCTGTGTGTGGGGGAGAAGTGGCCTATGCACAAGTGGGGTGGGGAATCTTTTTAAGGTAGTTTACACCTTATGTATAACTTCTGCATTTTTGAAGTTCCTTAATGGTTGGTACTTTCTCTCAGTAGCACCTTTGCCTGGTGTATCTTTGGTTGCTTTTATTCTTTGGCAGCTCTAGTTTGGATTCTTAAGAAACTGAAACTAGTGTTGGAGTGTATTTTGTCCTGCTTTTCTTCCTCTCTGCAGCCTCTATCCCTCAACACTAAATGCTTTTCATGACAATGGAAAGAGAGGCTGAGGTCCTGTACTGGGTTGCTTTGAATATATTGAATTTGGATATCTGAACAGGTACAGTGATTGAAATTAGTGTCCAGAAGGACAGAAAGGCTGCAATGTGAGGTGAACCATAATAATAGAACACCAGAGAATCCACATGTGATGGACAGGAAATGAGATTCCATATGTTCTGTGATTTGTTCTGCTGTGCTACTGAAAACAAAAGTGAAGTCAGATTTTTTTCATGTTCTTAATACGGCTCCAATTTTTGTGAAGCCACTGTGAGCTGGAAGAACACTGCTTCAAATCCCTGAATGCTAAGCAGTTAATTTTCTTTTACTAGACCTGTGAGAATTGAAACGACGATTAAAAATGCAGGGAAAAATCTTAAGCAGAGCTGGGAGCTTATTCTTGGCTGTAATGACTAATAACTTGTAACTGCTTACATTAAATGAGCTCTTGTTTGAAAACGTATGGATTGTGAATGAATTAATATTATGGATAAATGTTCTGATGTTTTTATATTAATTATTTAAAGCAGTGGTTTGGACTGCTTGGATGTAAATTGCAGTCAAACCTTGTCTTCCAGGAGCTCTACATCAAAGAGGCTACACAGCAGGTAATGCATAACTGGTCTGAGATGGACAGAGACAGCTTGCTTTTTCACAGCTTTCACTACCTCATTTAATTTTTCACTTCTGTGGATTATATTTAAAAGCCTAGCAGTTAAAAACGAAGATGGGATAAAACTGATTCTCATTATTCTCCTCAGACAAAAGTCTCTGGGATCAAATAAAGTGTTCAGTAAAACAAGCTTAAATCTTGTGAAATGTGAGGCGTTAACATGCTACCTTATAGAGCACATAAAGGAAAAAGGTATCCTGGATTTGATGCTTGACTTATTGTCAACTTGTTGGGTTTTTTTCCCCTTTATTTGTAATCGTCTTCAAAATCAGGGCTGATGTTCAGCACATTAAAGCATTTCTCTGCATGTACTTGTGTGTGTGACCTACATATCAGTATGTGAGTTCTTGTCACTTTTTCTCTGCAGATGAGAACTGTTTTGCTGTAACAGAGAAAATCAGGTGATATTTAAGTATTTGCACTGTCTGTCCATGCATCCAAGTTTTATAGTTTGCAGATATGAAAAAGTTGAAAATAAAATCACAGTTGTTAGAACAAGCAGATGAGAAAGATGATGGTGAAATTAGTCTCTGAATTATCCTGGGCTACCTCACGCTGTCTTGGCAGAGAAAACACCTTCTGTAGAGAGAGCAATGTAAAAACGTGCTTCTTTGATCCTTGGCCTTGCTTTAGTTAACATCACTGGCCATGAGAAGCTGTCCTGCTTCTGCAGTATTGATGATTCATGTGACAGGCACCAAATGGTTCAGGATCCTGGATGGGTTACAGGAGTTTTCACCATCAGGTCCATTGGGATCTTTAACCTCAGTCTTGTACTGGAATCTAGAATGATGGAAAGAATTCTCCTCATATTTGT